GTGTGGGTTGGCACACGAGAGACTAGTGCATAGCAAATCATAGACTTGGTATTAGGGATAGAAACAGGATAGACGCGGCAGAGACTAGAGCTAGTTGGCTGACAGTAGGCCTGTTTTACCATAGACATTGTCCAGGTAGCAAAGGTTTGACCATGAGACTTACTCAGAGGCTTTAGCCTCGAATTAATCACCCAGACGCAGGGGAAGGGTAATAACACCTCGAGTAGCACAGATGGAGTGGCAGGGGTCGAGTGAAATACTTGAACCAGGGAGATAGCAGACTGACTTTATGGAGCAAGCGGGACACTCTGATAAGACCTGGGGAAGAAGGACTGCGTAACAATATTGCAGACTTTGATCAAATTCCCGTGTACCAACGTGTACCGCGTCCACGGTCCGACTTTGGAAATTATTATGCATACAATAGACTCCGGACCAGGTGCGTTCCTCGAAGTCTTCTTAACAATATGACAAATTTGCGAAAACAAGGCCAAACGACTTCTATATTGAGTAAACTTGCTCATTGCTGAATATAAATTTAAATGGACAGATAAGGATTAGCATCCAGAGTCGTGTGTAAGATCAAATCAGGCTTCAAATAAATTATCTATTTAGATGGAACAAACAGATGATGAGGGATATCCAATAGTATGCATACTAACTCACCAGCTATAATGAATCGTGCTTCCGACTTTGTGTGATTCATGCCAAGGAAAGAGTCCGAGGTAGGCAGCCTATTCCAAGCAGAGCAGGTGAGAAGGAGTTCGACTCCGGGTGTAGCATTAGGCAACAAATGAAACTTGGCGCCACTTAATACATACTTATCTTTGAGCAAATTAAAGTGTTTTGCACTAGTACCCAAGGCAACAAGGGCTGCGATATCATCTGGGTTAGTGCGCAAACGCTTAAGCCGATTACGTTGGTCTTCGTCCATCCGGCGGTCTGAGTCGTCTGGTTGACGATATGTACGATCATTGGCCGAAATTGATGAAGCGACATCTACTTTACTTCGATGGCCATAGTTAGCCGAGGGATCGGTTGCGAACATACGAGCGCCCATATCAGGATCTAAGCCGCCTGCTTCCTGATCAAACTTGCTCATATCCAGATTTGAAAGATGCTTAGGAAATAAGCCCGTGGGTTCGACGTCAACTTGGTAGCCGGGATTTCTGCCATAAATGTCTGAGCTTGAGCTCCTTTGACGAGAAAGAACTTCCCTCTCTTCATCTCTCATAGGACCAAGCGGCAAGAGAGCTGAGGTAAGCTGGAATTTAATGTATGGCGAAGGATAACCGTCAGCATGGCAAGTCATTGTGGTTCCAGGTTCGATGTAGCCATGTACAGGACGTGGCAGAATATGTGCTATTGTAGTAGGGTCTGGAAGAGTGAGGTTACAGAAATAGAGACGGATAAGTGGAAATAATGATCAAAAAAGTAAAGTAAGGAAGAATGTAGTAGCCATTAGTAGATTTATTGATCAAGGCTATACGATTATTAATAGAAGATATTAATACTAAGATGGCGTGGTTTTTTGTATGGTCGCGGTTTTCTTTCGCTGTAAAGAAGTTGTTTGACTTTGTTTTCGCAACTAGGTCATATTAGTAGGAAGACTTAGAGGAACGCACATAGTGCGGAATGCATAGAATTTATGATAATTTCCAGAGTCGGATCTGCAGCGTCAAGTTAGGTTGTCATGCCAATTGAGAATCCAGACTTTAGGGGTTTGCTAAGTAAAGCTGGAGTTTACGTGCTTGAAGCAGTGTAGAACATAGCTCCTTAAG